TCTGGTAATACCCAATGCCATACAAATGAACAGGACTGTTTTCAAAGCATTTTGTGGAGGTATTCTTAACACTTTAAAGGTGAAAATCTAGCAAGAGACAATTGGCAGGAAAGAGAACATCTAGTACTGATGCTTCGTATGATCACAGAATGTACAGTAATAGTACTTTATCTGATTACAAATTTGATTATGTTGTTGAATGCGATTCCCTGGCTTCCTTGAAGAAACAACTGAATTATATCTTCAGAATAATTAGATACTAGCAATCCAAAGACTGAGATGACTCAAACAGCTTCCCTCATTTGTAACCTTTCTTAAAATCCTGTTTCCATAAAACAATGTAGTATATTCATTTTATGCTGGAGCAGAAACTTTTGAAACTTGACCATTTATTCCAGTTAAACCCTTTAGTATTTTTAGAGAGGATATGCCGACAATTTAACCAGGTGAGACATTACTACTAGCTACCTGATAAACTTGCAATTTTTTCACTGACTTACTCAAATAAATTACTCTAATGAATTCAGGATGGCTATGGTTTTGCAGTCACTTCTTAGGGACAGATTGTAATGTTAGTGGCATGTTGCAGGGCACAAATCAGACCCCTTCATAATTCAGATTGTCTAAAAGAACAAAACTACAAAATGAAGATAACATACAGTACCATCACTGCCTCTGAAAATATTTTTTTTTCATTTAGAGGAGCTGTTTCTCAATTATGTTTTTAGGTATCAGCCTTTAACTTCAAACATCACAATCTGGTATTTTTTTACATCACACTAAGGCAGCTCTAAGGGTCTAAGGGTACTAAAGTCTAAGGGTAAATACAGTATTCAGCCTATACAGTAGGCGAACAAACTGGTATGATCATTAAAAGCATTTGTTTTATGCATAAATCAGTTAATCTTCCCACTCATACAATACTTCTTACTCAATACTTTCTAAACATTTAATCAATAAAGCTCTCCTGTGTTACACTGTTTTTATAATTAAGGATGGATTAAATTAAAACTTCAGTCCAACCACAAACAGAAAATTCAAAGCCCACAACTTTATAGAGCGGCTTTCCATTGGATACACAAACTGAAAAACAGAAAGGTATTTATCAAGCGCTGCATTTCAAGTTTGTGCTTGTGTTATTCGCAGACAAGAAGTAATGATTTTCATGTTTACTATAACTGCTTATGTTAATTCAAACTGTGCATTGTATGATCCATCCATATTTAATATATAGTTGGATTGAAGTACAGTATCTAACGGATACATAAGCCCAACAGCTTGGCAACAAAGTTATTTTATCTTATGTAGTAACTATGTGTCACAGAGCATGAGTGAAATAAATGTTTTCAACACCATCAAAGGCAGACAAAATGCTTAAAATTGATTTAATAAGATGTTTTGGACATTAAATAGTAAATACCTTTCTAAACATTTTTAAACAATAGCTCCAACTGACCCTTTGATAATCTTGGCACAGCAATTTCTCTTTATTACAGAGTTTATTTAATCAGGGCTACAGCACTGTAAATACAGTAGAATCTATACTGCTTACTTACTAAAAAGGATAAACTCAACAAATGAAGCAGAAACTGAATGTACTGCATTTCTAAAGTGAATTTTGTGCAGAATGTCTTACATTCATTTTAGATTCTAAACTATTTTTTTAAATTCACACAGTAAATTTAATCAGTGTTTGCTGAAAGTGGGAAAATAAATGAAGTAAATGTTTTACATGTTATGTTTCTACTGTAATTTAAGAAATATATAAGGAACAAATAAAACAATACATCTCTTTATCATACAATACAGAAATATATTGAAACTGCTCATTATTTAGCTGAGTTGTTTCAAATGTGTAATAGTTTATTTTTAAACACTGAGGCTTCAAAACAGTATGATAACTTTTAAAATAATAAAATGTGTATTCTTATTGTAATTTTCTTATAGAACAATACCTACAGTAACATAACAAATGGAGTTATTTTTTTAAAAAAATCCATAGCATTAAAATACAAGTGTTTCTTTGTATACACTGCAATAATCCATTTGTTAGGGATTAATTTCCTTAGCTGAATAGACTGCTTGAATCAATATGGGTAGGAAATACCCATGTTTTTAAATTATTGCACCCCCTGGCCTTACCATGTTCATATAAATCAGACCGTGTCATTAACAGGTCTCTATGCAATTTTTTTGGGTTCACTGGAATGCTCCTCAGCACTCGTTTAACATTTCTCGTCAGTTTTTAGCTTTCCCCTTCTTTTGTAGGAAGCCAGGGGTCGACGGGGTAATTGGTTCATGCAGATAACGTACTTGCCATTCAAATAAACTCACCGTTTCGCAAGTGAAAAGGTCAGCCCATTCTCAGTGGCTTGAGTTTCTACACAAACAGGAAGAAAGTCATGATGGGTTCATGAACCAGAAAAGCTAGTCTAGTGGAACTGCACCCTGAACTACACTTTGAACCCAACTTTCTTTCTTCTCCGTTTTTTGAATGTGCTGGGTAAAGGTATCAGATGAATACAGAATGAACAGATCTGCCAGACTGTGACCTCCCCAGTGCTCTCCATTTAATGTTCCCCTTTCCCATGAGGCCTTGAGAACCCACCCAACACACAGACAAATGCTCACACAGGCTGTCTGAAAGGGTTAATAAGTCTAGTTGTCTACTGGTAGTTTTGTGACAAATCGCATATAGAGTCAGTGATTTGAGCTAAAGTATCTAATTTCTAATTTAGTCTTTTATGTCATTAACATGTCAATAATAAATCTTACAAATCTATAATGCTCTTTCTTTCAGAATTTATAACTTTATTCTGACTACTTTAAACTATGTCAGTCCACAAAATCTTTTGCTGAATTATGTTTTTACAAGTGTATTATTAACTTTATTAATGATCTTTATAAATCCTTATTATATGCTATATAGCCTTATTGGTGCTTTGTCTTTATCCTATTGGATGTTAATGCTAATTGCCAAGACTAAAATTAAACAGAGGTATTATTCAATATACAATTTTTCTGTGAAATAGGTGACTGAAAAAATGTGCCTATTCATGAAAGGAAAAGGAAAAAGGTAGAATGTAAAGATTTTTATTTTTAATTGCTCTTTTTCCCATGGGGAAAACCTAGTATTTACTTACACAAATGTTGTATAAACTGAAAATCTTCTCCCACTAGGGCAGATTAGCTACCTACACCTACCTACGCTGCACCTGAAACGTGAAAACCAAGGTACATGAAAACTTTTTTTTCTAAATGAAATATGTCTACCACCAGAATTTTTTACTATATTATAGCAGGTGGGGTCACTCATTTCAGAAATGGTGGGAACAGGGGCTATGATGGGCTTGGGAGCTAATTCCATATTGCTGTAAAGTTATCAGCATCTTTACACCCCCACTCAAGCTCATAACACTATTAGTTGCAGCTACAGTGGTCACAATATACATCTGACCTTGCTAAAGAGGAGGTTTCAATGCAAAAAAAGATATGCCATGAATCTGTCTTTTTACAATGAGGAATCTGTGAAACTGAACTTCATGTTTTTTCTGGATAAATTATTAAGCCTTTTAAACTTTAAATCTGTATATTCTCTCTCCCACACTTAATTATGTGGTAATACCAACTCCTGTCACTCATTTTGATAGGTTTTGTCATGTTAAAAATGCTTTTGGAGTTCGAATTGGAGCTTGCACAAAAGCATGGCCATTTAGACACTTAGAATTAGAGCGAAGCAAAAAGAAATGTGCTCAATGCAAAAAAACAGATTTTTGTGATTAATGGACTGAATGCCTTACATTTCTAGAAATCCTGGTGAGATTCCCAGTTTGCCTAGTTTTTAATGGGAAAAAAATGTAATGACAATAAAACATCAATAAAACATTTGAAAAGGCAAAGTAACCCAACTGAGCTGGGAACTCACTAGAAACACCAATAACTTTAATAATTAACGAAACAGAGATACAGTACTGCATATACAGTAGCAGCCTTTGTTGATCCACTTCTGGATTAATTCTTCCCTAAGACTCTTCCATGAACATTTGCCTACAGCTATCTTTGTCCAACTTGCTATTGCAAACATAATGATTTCACCTTTTAATTTTACATTTGTCCTTGTTATTTTATGCCTCTTGTAAACTAGCTCAGTATTTCCTTGGTCCAGAGAATGTCTGTTCTATGTTTTATGTGTCCTACCCATTGCCAATTCATTGTTTTTCTGATGTCACATGCCCTTTTTGGGTGTTCTGACCCAAGCATAAACTGTTAATTGTGTGTTGTTTGGTGATATCAGAGCGAACACTTTTGAGCACTCTTGAAATCTTATAAATGGTGCTGAGTAGGTTTATCGATGTCTGTTTTTTAAACATCTAAAGCAGGTACGTTGTACAGAGTGTGAAATGCTTTCTCATATGCAGTTGATTCAATAAATGCCAGTGTTTTAATGATTGTCCAACTACTTGCTGACAGCTCAGTGTGTTATATCCAGCACTGAATCCTGCTTGCTCTCTAGGGCGGACAGAGTCCAGTTTTTCTTTGAAGCCTTAGCGCACATCTTGTTGCTAAATGTCAGCTAGCTGTACTGTATGTTTTTATTGCTGTTCTTGTACAGAAATGTCAATAAGGTATTGCTTCTATGACCTGGAAATCCCCTGCCTGTAAATACCAGGAGATGGTGTAGTTTGATGGGATCTAGTTTTGGCTCTATTCATGCGGAGTGATGGACAATTAAAAAAAGTTCCAAAAGTTCCGATGAGTTAACTCACGTGCAGCTTTATACAAACGTTGTTAGCCTCTCAAATTTGAATCAGTGAAACGATTGATTCTGCAATCGTCGGGATTGCTTTTCCGCGTTAAAAGTCATTTTCTAACTTTTAGAAACACTTTAAGAAATAAGCCACTCTTAGGAACAAGACTGAAACGAAATAAATTCATTAGTAAATTTAAATTCTGTACAGTTGCTGAAAAAAAGAGTTAATAAAATAATGGCCTTCAAGCGGAACATGTTTTTCAAATTTTCAGTCGGACTTGTAATGTAAGTGCACCAGTCAAGGCGGAAGTACGGAAGTAAGAAATTAAAGGGGTTTCAACATGGCGGAGGTAAGGGAGGGTTCTAATTTTGTTCTAAGTTTATTTTATTTGGTTAGAACGGTTGCGAATAAAAAAAAAATAGAGAAACCTTTAAATATACAGTATATTTTTAAAATATCCATGTGACATGTTAATGTTTTGGTGTGATGTGTCAGTACAGCGTTTTGTGCTCCAGCGTGTTTACAATGTTACTTGCTTTTGAAAAAACAAAGCACAAATCTTGTAATCGATAAGGTGGGGGAAAAACACTGACAGTTTCTGTAACAATCTACAACTTTACTGTTCAGCTCCTATAAATTATTGTAAGGAAGGTCGGTTAGGATATTTCATTAAGACAAAAGCTGTCTGCTATCAGTTCAACACAGCTCTTCAGCAACTGCTTTGTCCAAGAGAGAATCCGCCGTGTTTCTTCTTGATAGTATTTAATCAAAACAAATGGACAGCATTTTATAGTGTTAAATGCATGCTTTAACCTACGTCATTGTTTAAATGTATTTGCTCGGAGGGTAATGACAGAATTTTTAAATGCATTTCTTCTTTAGACAACTAACGTTTTTAAATGAGTCGAGTAACTGGGAAGTATGAATGAGGAGCCGAAAAGTGAAGCTAAATTAACAATGTACTAAAAGCTAAACACATTTAAACAAAGGAACCGTTTGTTTTTTAAAAAATATTGATTCAATCGACTTAGTCTAAAAGTGTCTTATTTTAAAAGTACCTGCTACAGGACATTTAAGTATGGAAGAATTGAAGAAAATTCGCGAATGTATTAGTAGGACAATTTAAAACCTGCTTAAATGTTTACAGGTGTTTTTTTTTTTCGTTTCGATTAGTTACAATCCGCGTTATTTTATTTTTAGCTAGTTGAAGTGTTGTGGGGTTTATGTTTCAGTTTGATTAAAGATTATACATTGTTTTTTTATGTCAGTTCTCTTATCTGTCCACAAACA